AAACATATGAAAGCATTTTGGATGGTTCTGACCTTTAAAAGGCGACAATTATTTGGTTATTATCTGCTATGCATCGTTTAATTAAAAATACCAAGAAGACAAATCAATACAACTATAACAAAAATATCCACGTTGTTTTGAATCACTTGGTGATAAAGGTTCATCATTCTCCGGTTCAAACACTCTATCTAAAGAAATAGCAAAATCTGACTTTGGTAAATAAACGCCGAATATTAATTTTCGTTGTGTTATTTTTATAATTTGCTCAGCAGCTTAGAATAAATTATAATAACTAAACATTTCTGTTTTGACGCAATCTCCTTTACTGGTAATATAAAAATCTTTGTCATGCCTATTCCCATTTTTAAAGTTACTCGAGAATCAGTTTCTTTGAATAATTTCAAGAAAATCTTTTATTTGTTTCATCGATGTCTTTTTTATAAGGTTTATAATATCAACTGCTATTATTATTATATCGTGAGATGCTGGTGATTCAGTCCCACCAGCCTCCTTATCTTCGATTGTTTAAACAATGGCGTATTCAACTTCCTTAATACAGTCGGCACTCGAATAGTGAACCTAACGATTTGGTTTTTTGGACCATTTTTTCAAATCTTAAATCTTACTGTGTCTCGATGTTAAACACGAGTATTTTTAATGTGTAAACTGGTCAGTAGAATGATAATTAAGAATTCTAATAAATTTTATTTGCTCCGCTAAAAAAACTATTTTATTATTCAACAGCCTGTCAAACCAATGGCCCTAACCTCAAAACCAATGGGTTTTTGCTAGTATAAAGTATTCATAATAATAACGTTATGATCATACCGTACTGAATTTCGGTGTTCAAATAAAATCAGCGCATATGTATATATAGTGAATCGTATAATATAAGGAAGTTGAAGATTTTCCCATTTGATTACATATAAACTCTCCTTGATATAATGATCTTAATATAAATCCTCTATATTAAATAAAGAAAAAGAAGAATGCATTAGAATCAATCACTAAAATTTGATGGTGACTTTTTGTTGATGTTAAAGTTGTTCTTTAAATAATGCAATTTTATTCAAGATTTATTAGTGCGAAAAGAGCGCGCATTACCATGATTATGACAATAATAGATAATCAATGATCCTATATATGGAAATTTTAAACCCTCCATTAATGTTTTTATCACCAAAAAAGAGTATATATATCATCAGGATCTTAAAAATTAAATTTACATCGCGTTGATTTGCATTTATCAGCTATATTCTATTGTACTACTTTTAAATTGAGTTGTACAACTTTAAATATCGATTAACATCACGTTGTTTAAACGAAACAAGTGAAACCAGTGAAATATATATATGAGAAAATTGTTTAATTTACTTCTATAAAAAGAAAGCAATTTCCCGGAAAAAAAGATTGATTTGTAAAATAAAGGTATTGTTGATGATTAACCGTGTCATTGTTGCTAATTAAAGAATGATCTTCGAGGTTTCGAAATACTAATTACAATTATAAATTATTATTTTAAAAAAGCTAATTCTTTCTTACGACAAATAGATCAAAACTAATGTGAAATATATTGTTCTTAGACTTGTCAATTAAATTCATTGAAGAAATTAAAATATGGATTTTCTCTTTTGGTGGATATTTAAGGAATTACAGATTGTGTGACAAGTCATTTCAAAAAAACTATTTAAATAACAAGTCAAAGAATCAAATTTAAAACATTTGGAAATGTCATAACCTTTCCCACGAAAAAAGACCCCCATCCTCTATATTATTATATTACTTATCTTTTTTGTCGTTATTTAATCCTTTCCTTGAATATGAGCACCATTG